CCGCGCGGGCCGTCCCGCTCGAGTTTGGGATGTCGGGGTGCAGCTCGCTCCCACCTGAAGTCGCCTGTGACGTTCGGGCCCGCGGCCCGCGCGAGTGGAACGCGGGGTCGGGCCTGTTGCAGAAAGTGGCCGCTGGTGTCGGTCGCCGAGGCAGCCCCGAGCCCCGCCGGGGACACCCCGGACAGGCCGGGAGACCGGTCCGGCCTCGGGCGGGCTGGGGCCGCGGGCTCGCCGCCGGGGTCCGGCAGTTACGTAATCGGGCTGGAGGCGGGGGCGCTCGGGCCGCGGGCGGGGGCGGCGCTCGCCTGCTGCTGCTGTGGCTCGAGGAAACCGAGAAAGTGGAGCATTTCGGGGCTCAGGTCGCCGGTTTCCCCTTTTCTTTCTCACTTCCTTCCCCTTCTCTGTTTAAAAAATGAAAGTGCCTTGGAGACTTGAGCCATAAACTTTTGAGTGTGCGGCAAATGCATGTTTTTTGTATCATTTGAGTGCTGCTAATTTTGAGCGTTCGCCACTCCGTCATTACAGCCTTTCCGAAGGGTGCGAGGACCGTTGAAAGGAAAGAGTGGTTAAGATAAATTTCCAATTTCACAGGAGGAAAGCTTCCTGCTGTGGTTCAGCAGAGCAGGTCTTTGGGAGGCTGCTGGCGAGTACTAGTGCTAAAAGTGAAGACTGACTTCTTAACAGCTTAGTTTCTTACCTGAGAATACTTTTCTTACAAAATTAGAACAGATTTTTTTAAATTGCCGTTCACAAAATATTCAGTATTTGACACAAAATATTCAGTATTTGACTTAAACTTTATTTTCGTATTTTTTTATCGCACAGCTGACATAGACGGATTAATGCTGTTTATCAGATCTTAAAAGACATACTGTGAAGCAAGCGCCTACGTTTTTATTCTTTGCTGTTTGCAGAAACGTAATTCAAATTTTAAGTTACTCAGTACTGAGGGGAAAAAGTGTTTAGCAGTGCTTTTCTGGTTGGTGCTTTGAAGTCCTAAAGTAAAAAGACATAAAGTGTTGCCATGTTTTGGAGGCAGTTTTTCAGGATTTTATGTAAGTAGAGCTCCTTTACTGACAAGGATACCCTTTCTTGTATTTTTTCCCACTGTGTTTTTGAGAAATATGACTGTAATACAAAGCAATCTTGTGTTTGATAGAGGTCATGATGTTGGTGCGATGTTGAGGCCTCTTTTCATCCTTTTGGTAGACCTTTCAGTGTTAATCATAGCATACTATCGGGACATGGTAGATCACTAAAGTTTGTAAGTAATTCCAAAACTTACATCATTTTCATTTTCTACCTTTTTTTAAAAAAAAATTCATACAACAACTGGGGTACAACCAGAGGTGTTTGTAGGGGAGGGTGTGAGAGGATTCACCAGTGACAGTGGGGAGCAGAACAGGCAGAGCCACTGAAACACTCACTGCTGAAGGAGCAGTGGGCCAGTCAGGAGGGGTCTGCTGTGCCCTGGGGTCACTCTCTGGCCAGGGATTGAGCTGGCTACTGCAGTGGCTGAAGACAGGTAGATAATGCTGAGACTTAACCCGTTTGGCTACCAGGGAGGGCCCCATTTTTTTTCTAACTAAAACTTTTCCTGCTTGTAGGTAGTGCACTTACGAATACCTCTCATTGCATTACAGTCAATTTTCAAGTGAAATGGGTTGGAGTAGGCTAGGTGGTTCAGAATCTTTGGGAGATTTAGTAGTGATTTGATGAGTACTTCAAATCTGGGGGATGGACTCCCCGAGGTACCATTCCTGTTGTGGCGATCACTGGCTTTGATCATATAAAGATAGTGACTTCATTACAAGCGCTTTCTCAGTGTCCTCCACTTGCGTAATGTTCTCTCGTCCTGCAGTTCCCTACCCCCCTTCTCCTTTCCCATCTCCCTTCCTTACCTGGCGCCCCCTCTGACAACTTTTTTCTTCCCTTTCTCCTTCCCTTCCTTTCTTCATTCTTGTTCGTTCCCTCCCTCCGTCCCTCTTCTTTCTTTTTGATCATTGAACAGCCCCTTTAGTGTGCCGCAGTGTGGCAGGGAGGTGATGAGCAAGTCTTGCTTTCAGTGAGGTCGCAACTGAGTAGAATGACCCAGGAAAAATTGGGCAAAAAAAGAGCATGTTGAGTTGTTGCTGTATGTAATTGTGCTTAGTGCTGGGGGAGGACAAAACTGGACAGCTTAAGAGAATCATGGCTTGTCTTCTGGGGGAATTGACACTTCAGCTGAATGGCAGAAAAGAGTGTTTCAGACAGGGAGCAACATGTTAGAAAATAAAGGGAAAAACAAAGATAATGTATCTGGATGCTCTTAAGTAGTTCACCGTAGCCAAGGGCTGGTGATTTTGTGGTTTAAAGTGTGATGTCTGTGTAATGGGAACAGGAGGGCAGTGATGGGAGGGAGGTAAAGCTAAATTAGGGGGTTGAAATTTTTCTCAAAATCTACGTGGAACTGAAGAGGTGTACAAGAAGTACTGAAGGTGTAGAGTCTGTGTAGCGATCACTTTGGTAAATAAGTGAAAGCACAGTGTAGTAAATCCATCACAAGGAAAATGTGAATGACTCTGGAGAGTCCAAGTTGAGTCCAAGTGACAGGTGTGAGTAATGCCCTGGGGCTGAATAATGCCCTGAGAGTGGGGTGGGGGGGGGGGTCGTGTTCTGAGGCAGCGAGGAAGTAGAATACAGGACCTAGTAGTAATTCATCTGGAGTAGGAGGAAGACCAGGGCTTGTCATGGGGACGCTGTTGTCACGTGAAGCATGTCGGCGGAGTAAAGGTGTAGGTCTCTCCGTATTTGCGGAATCCGAGCCGTCTGCATCCAGGTATCATCTTCTACTTGAGATGTGAGATTAATGGGGAGCAGATAGGGGCTTCGTTAATTAAATGTTAACCTCATCGTTAAGACTTAACTATAATATTTGAAGGGATTTAGATCTATAATATCTCACATGTATTTTGTGCTGAACATGGTTCTCTTTTAAGTGAACATGTAATTTTGTGAAAATACCAAGTTGCTTTCTCTGCTTATTGTAATTTTTAAAAGTATGTCAGGGCAGTACTTCAGGCATTGAAGAGCTACTGTGTGCTTGTACTGGACATGGTTCTAAGTTTTGAGGATACAGCAATGAACAGAACTAGCCTTGCACAGAGAGAGATCTGTGAGGGTAGACAGACAGCAATACACACGTACGTCTGTACATACCTTGGTAAGTGCTCTGAAGAGAAATGAAAGCAGGTCAAGACGAGGCCAGAGTGACACTGTCTATACTGCCTTTTGTTAGTCTTTAAGGATGACACTTAAGCTTCCTGTGTCACACGGCATTCCGTGAACTATTCAGTGATCTGGGTGAAGAGCATCCCAGACGGGATACGCAGGTGTATGGTCCTGAGGGGGAACATGTTTGACCTATATAACCTTCGCATTTTTAGGGATCAGAAGGAAGGTCTTAAGGGTGGTGGGAGATGAGTCTAGAGAGGTCACAAGATTCAGCAGAGGACAGGTCTCACAGGCCGTGCTAAGGACTTAGAGTATGAGTGTGTTAGTACGTCATTGATGGGTCTTAAGCAAGACAGAAAGTTGCTCTAATAGACATTTCCAAGTAGAACCCTAACGCTGTGTAGAGGCTAGATGGCAGGGGAGAGCAAGAGCTGCGTATGGAGGCCGAGCCCCAGGCCGTGTCAGGGCTGGTGGCGGCCACCCTGAGAGTGATGATACTGAAGGTGGGAGATGGGGTTTGAATGGCCTGATGGTGAAAAGTTTTGCTCTCTGCTACTTACAGAGAACGAACCCCTTTTCACTGTTAAAAAATGTTTGCTGTAACGGATTGGTGGATGAGATTCCAGGAAATGAGTGTAGCCGAGAAGGCGTCTCACCTTAGTCTTCCCTGGTTGGTGGGCAGTGAACATTGAAGCGAGCAGATCTTCCACTGTTTCTTAATTTTAGAAAATGGGGGTAATTGCACCCTTTAAAGGTACAATTCAGGCCCTCCCTGGTGGCGCAGCGGGTTAAAGCACAGCACTGAGAATCTAAAGCCGCTTCCGCATGAGTTCGATTCCCGCCTGCCCCGGAGGTGACCACATGGCGCGGCAGACCTCTCCTGACCCGCCCGCTGCTCCCCTCAGCAGTGTACTTCGTCGATCTCTGTTCTGCTCCCCATCTGTCTCTGGTGAAGCCTCTCACCGCCCCTGAGCCTCTGGCCTGTATCCCAGTTCTGTATGCACAAATAAATAAATCTTAAAAAAAAAAAAAAGGTACAATTCAGTGCTTCCTATTATTTCCCCAAGATTGTATATCCATCACACTGAAATTCTACATACTCATTTGCCCAGAAAGAAGCCCTGTATCTGTTAGCAGTCCTGATGGCTTTTTCTTCCTTTGGTTCCTGCTCTGGAAATTACGAATGTACTTTCTTTCTGAGTGTTTACTTTTTCTGGACATTTCCTATCAGTGGAATTTGTCTAACATGTGACCTTGTGCGCCTCATTTGTTTTACTGAGCCTAATGTTTTCAAGATGCATTACATTAATTTTGTAATGTGTCAGTACACCTGTCTTTTTATTGAGGAGTTATATTCTATTTTATGGATGTGCCACATTGTGTTAGTCTACTTACCAGTTGTTGGGCTTCTGGATTATCTTTACTTTTTGTCTACTATGAATGGTGATGCAGTGGACAAGTATCAGTATGTGTAAATGTGTACAGGCATCTGTGTGAACATCTATTAATTTTAGGTTCTAGGAGCAGACATTTTTCTCTTTGGGGTAGTTATATTACCTGTGGTAACCCTGTTGACAGAGTGTTTAATTTCAGATGTTTTGTGTTACTGTGGCAGATGGTCACCAAGGACTTGGCTGTTTTAAAAATTCATTCACCATTTATTGAATGCTTATGTGATGGTTTCTATTTTAGCCATGGAGGATAGATATATCAGTGAACAAAACAGGCAGAAATTCCTGACCCACTGGCTCTTATATTTGAAGGTGGGGTGAACAAACTAAAATAATCAGGAAAGCAACTTACTTTTTTGTCTTGTGATAAGTACATAGTGTAGAAATAAGAGGGACCTAAATAAGGAGGACAGGGACTATGCACGCTACGGCAGGGGCTTACTTTAGATGAGGCGGCCAAGTAGGCTTTCTGAGAAGACATTTGCTCTAGTATTTGATTTGAGGGAGGGATCGCGTGGCCTAACAGGCATCTTAATGTGTTCAGCGAGCTGTTCAGGTTCCGAAGGCAGGGCTGGAGTAGAGAAGGAGGTGAGGGATGGGGCTACCCCAGGTGAGGGGGTTGCAGCTTGGGGACAAAACAGATTAGATCAGATCAATCGGGTCGCCTAGGAACTTGAGGACCTTTACGGGACCGA